TCGCTGGTGATTTTGATTCATCCACTTTTCTCGAGGTACTTTTCTCAAAGTCCACAATAATATTATCGGGAGAAGTAATGGTTAATGCAATATGGCGACTTCTTCGACCCGTTACCCAGTGTCATTACATATGTTTGCAAGTAGATTCTTAAGTAAGAAACATTTTGTAACTTTCAGTATAGAATCGACTGAACTGACACTTTGGTGAATACAATCGTTTAGTTTTCAATTTAAAATATTGATTATGAGCAAAGTTATTATATAAGATGTAAAATGAAGATCCATAAAATATCATCTTCTCCTCAGAAATTGTATACTTTATGTATTCATTTCTGCAAAACTAGGCGAAAGACTTCTGAAAAATAAATTTGCGGACGAGCTACTTTGATTTTTTGCTCTCAAAGAGATTCGTCGGGATCGCGTCATGCGCAAATTCACTTCTTCGCCAAATCGGCTTTGAAAGTACAGTTTCGCCTTCCTGAGAGCGGCTCGTGCGGGCGGATGACGCGATTAAAAATTCGTCTCGCGTAAAATCCGCGGAGTAAAAACCGCGATAAATACGCAGAATCGAGGACGAGGGTACGCGTGTATGCGAGAAACGTGCGAGGAAGCTCTCTCTCTCTCTCTCTCTCTCTCTTTCTTCGCCTTTCTTGCTTTTCTCGGTGGCGGTCGCAAAAATAAAGGTATGCGCCGCGTTATTTATGGGATTTAGCGCACAGATGGTGGGTGCGCGCGTGCCGTCAGATACGTCCTCGCGCATTTCCAACGCGAGGAAACCACCTGTTATTTTCCGCATCGCGGAGCAGCTCGCTCGCGCTCGTTCGGCGCGTCGGGGAAAAGTACGAGCGGCAAAATACCTACGTCGTAACTAGTCGCAGTATACGTATTTCACTCCGGCGCGAAAAACGGAGGGAAACAACCGTGCCGCCCTCCTCTCTCTCTCTCCCTTCGCCGTTCTTCACCCCCGGTTCTCGTCAGCTCGTTCGAGCGAAGCTCGGAGAAACTCCCGCGCTACGATCGAGAGGCATTTCAGCATTTCCGATCGGAATCACCGATGTCTGCAACATAGCGGGTCGCGAATAATGATCGCCATTATATCCTCGAGGTACTTCGCCGAGGACTCGGGAATGCGTTGACGAAAGAAGGGGACCGCAATGTCCGTGAAAGTTCGTGCTGACGTCCTTCCTCTCGTCCTCTTTCCCTCTCTCTCTCTCTCCCTGCATTGAACGAACGTTTTACTGAAGTTTCTGTTGAACTGCACGGTAACTTACACAAGTAACTAATGCAAACGCCGCATCTCTCTCCCTCTCCGAGTAACCGGACGATATTCGGCTTGGTCGGATCTGGCACGGTGTACCTCGACGAGAGGAAAATTACAATCGCATCGATCGATCGCCTCGTCGCGAACGGCCGAGGAGCTGAGTTGAAATCTCGAGGCTGTATGTTGAAATCCTGTAATTGAATTCCTTTTTACTTCACAACAGGAACTAAGGCAGTAAATTAGGTTGAAAATTCTGACGGTGCAAATTGTTTCTACTTTCACCATGGTGACGTCTGAAAACTTCCGTTTTCGCTGGGTCTCAAGTAGGCGAAAGTAGGTTATTCGAGATAAAACGTCGAAGTGAAATTTTGGTTGAATTAAAAGTTAAGGGAAGAAGTTGATAATCGGCGATAAAGTCAACACCGGCCGCGCGATAACGTCATCAGTGCGCGAGTCGATCGATTATTGAGGTCACAGTTTGGCGGCCCGAGGAAGACCTTGACGCCGGCGGCCGGATAGATGACGGGTCGATGTCGGCCGGCTCCAGACGTCCTGGCACCGCCGAGAAACCTTCTGCTCATTTCGCTCCTTGGGGTATTCCGGCAGCATCCTCCCACGCGCCGTCCGTCCGGTAGTAACGTAGGTAGCTAAAACATAAGCGCGCGGCATGTCATTCGAGAAAGTGCGCCAGCCTCGCTCCCGGCTCGCTTTTCATTGAATCTCATCTTTTGAATTCCCGGACACAAACAGAAACGTCCAAAATCGGGACACAAGACATCTTTCGAACGTCTTTAAATTCAAGATGTCATAATATAAGACGTCTTTAAGACATACGTTAATCAACGGTTAATCTATCACTCTCTTCCGGTTGCAGCGTGTGCGATTCGTATTCGTTTACCTGTTATCTTAATCATCTGATGCGAGCTGCAAACAACCGCACACCCACACACCGTGTTCCGCGTGTCACGATACGTGTGTTGCTCGGGACAAAATAACTCGGTCATGGAAAAGTACGTGACGCACGAGAATATCGAAACAATGGATACATCCGGCAGAGACAAAGTCATCTCTCCCATCAATAGCGAACCGTTGTCGCCCGCCAATCAACGACCCGTGTCTTCGGTGGCCGAGAAATCACGATGGTTAGCGTTCTCGAGACATTCCTAGATATAATTAAATTATCCAATTATTATGTAGCTGGTAACACAATGAGGAAGAAGAGATTGGTTGAATTAATATGACGATGAACTTACCCGCTTATCATCAATCTTTGTTGGATTTTTTTATATTATTACACATACATGAGATGACCGAATATTAAACAAACGTTGAATAAACTTCTTCAAGCCCTCCCCACACAGCAAAACAGCAGCGAGTAACCATCTCCAGCGTCAAAAGACGACAGCCTGTGTAAAGTTACACCTCAAAGTCCTCCATCGGTGGCCGAGGTTTAATGTAAAATCGAACTTTCGACGGGGGAGTGCTGTCGCTTTCTTCCCCACTCGTGACGTGCGCGGCTTGTATTCCATTTGCATTTATACAGATCCTTTTCTGCTGTGAGAATACATCCCGTGAAAAGCACTCGATGTTGGATATCCACCGCCCGCGTAATTATCGATTCTCTCGCGCCGAGGCAATCACCATTTTTCATCCTTTGTCCTCCGTGCTCGGAAACGTATCCATTTTACGTACCCCCGCGCGATCCGGGAGTCACCCTGGAATAGAGGTTTCCCGCGGACCTTTAAAAACATTTACGTCGCACGGTGAAAAGGATGAACCGTGGGCGGTCATGATTACAGGCTTCGTTTCGAATAGCCCGGCCTAGCTAGAATGACGTATTTGGAGCGGGCCATTGTACCAGTTTTCCGTCCTTACTTGCACGGACCGTCGTAAAGGGCGACGCATTCTCCTTAACGATCTGCCATTAAGACTTAAGAATCCGTTAACGAGTCGCACTGTTGGGGTCTGTCCGGTCGCACATCCACGGAGCAGCAACGGCAGCGACCCGCGGCTTTCTCATCACGTAGCGAGAAGAAACACGCCGGGAATTCTCCAATTAGCTCGCCCCGGGAACGACTGCTCGCGCGGAATTACGGAATTTGTGAGAGAGAGAGAGAGAGAGAGATAAGTCGTCGGCCGGTCGTCTGCTAATTACACAGAGTTAATTAAGGAGAAACCGGCACGCGGATAACGGGGGTGGAAAGAAAAGGAAAAGGAAGGCAGAAGGAGGACGCGTTATCGAGCTTCTTCTTTTTTGCAAATATTAATATCGGGAATTCGCAGGACGTTCGCTGTGTCTTACCATAGAAAGTCTAATGGAGATGTGTGTGAAAGATTTCTCCCGCAAGTTCCCCCCGGTCTTTCATATCTTTAAATTTAATTGGAAATTTATCAGAATCTTCCGTGAAATTTTCTTAACTACTACATTGACACATACGAGGTCTACAAGCTCCAATCAATTTTGACATTTTTAATCGTCTCCGTCACACGTTGAACTCGACGTATTCATTTTCACGTGTGCTTTCACTCTGTGAAAAACGTTTATAATTCTGCACAGGCAATACAACGTGAATTCTGCAAAAAGAAGACAGTATTTTCTACTGGTAAAGCCTTCAAACGTGGCGTCTCTTCTGGATGCTGTATACCTCTCGAGCGTGGTACCAGTTCGTCGAGAGAAATAATGTTAAAGCTCACGTTAGTGAGAGAGAGAAAGAGAGAGAGAGAGAGAGAAAGAGAGAAAATATATATTTTCCCCGGGACACGCACGCGCGTTTTTTTCGAAGTACATACGCACTCAAAGTGCTTGTCGCTCGCGTCGTCAAATCGCGGCAAAACGGCGGGCTAAAAATTCCGAGAGCACTTGGCCGCGTTGGTCGCGATCATTCCGTCCCGATAATTAAATGTCAGGCCATTCGAGGAGAACGAGGATAGGAATGACACGGACGAGCCCCGCTCGCTCGCTCGAAGAGCGAGACTGAACGAGTCATCGACTATATTTCGGGGATCGATAGCTCGTTCAAGTCCCCCGCTTATATGTGCATACGTATGTACATCTCATGCAAGCATCGATTCTCCCGCATCGGCCGGCTATTATCTCGAGATTTTCCCGTCGTTTTTCTCCTTTCTTGGTATATATATATATATATATATATATATATATATATATATATATGTATATATGTGTATTCCTGTCGGAGGATCCAGCGCGCTTCGCAAAATGCGAGCGAGGAGAACGCGAGAATCTGGAACGCCGCTGGAATTCCGCAAAGAAGCGGATATAGTCAGCCCCTGCGAGAGAGCGGGGTGGAAATTTTTACCAACGAGGCAACAAGACTTCCTCTCTCCCCGCGCTTAAATCTTCCGCAATGACTCGCGCGAGGTAATAAAAGGAAAATAATCGTCTGCGCGGAAATATCGCGCGACGACGACGCTTGTCTACGCCTCTCGGGCGAGCTGTGACACAAATCGATAGCGCCGCGCGGAACAGATCCTCCTGCCTGTAATTTGATTTTCTTCGGAAGCTTTTTTTCCCAATTTTAATGGCATATTCATCGAAGCATGATCTACACACACGCACACAGACGTGCAAAGTTAGAAAAAGATTGACCGAGCCCCTTTCAATTCTACATGACCTCCCCTTCTACATAGGATAAGAAAAAATTGCTTACGATCACATTACAGGTAATATTTACAAATAATATTTTTGTGGTTAAAATTAAAAAAAAAAAAAGAAAACAAGATATTGTCGTCCTCGAAAATAACTATATTTTTCTCTCGTCGTGATTCGGGAAGAGTCCGGCAAGGGAGACGGCGAGGGAGGACTCACGGATACCACTTTAGATTTCAAAATATTTATTTCGCCGTGATTATTACATGCGTGCTACACGTATGCGTGCGATTATAAGTGCTGATGCACAGTTGCGCACAGTTGTCATTGCCAAGTGTGTTAATTGCATCGCGCGAGAATGCCGGCCGCGAAACCACTGCGTGCCAACAAACGCGACCGCACAAATACACCGCGCCAAAACACACACACACACATACACTCTCTCTCTCGTGCGCGCGGATGGTAACATGGATTCCTGGGCGGGGGATCGATATTCCTGGTGTGCTCGGATCCTGTTGGTAGATCGGCCAGGATCAACCACGCAAGGTACACTTGATCTCGCGACGTTGACCGAGCTTGCGAGCGCGGAATTCGGATTAGGGTTAGTTGCGTGAACGCAACATCGTGCGATTAAGCGCGACCAAGCGCGGTCTTGTCTTCCGATGACACACGTGTACACGTTGACATCTGTGCGTCTCCCCTGCGGCGAAGTTTCTCATTTCTTCGTCGCTACGTGAGCGGATTTCATCGTCCCGTTCGTGATTAATATCACGGGCGGGGAAAGTAATATCAATTACCCGGGGGGAATCGATGAGCTCGATTGCGACGGCTCACGGTGAGCTTGAATGTGACACGTACCGACGTGAGTTGTGTTCCGGTAATTATTAATTATTAATTTAATTATCGGCACACGTGTAAGTAGATAATTATTGGAAGCTGGAGCTGTCTGTCGACAAATCGCAATTTAACTTACTACGTCGCAATCACCCCTTCCGGTCCCTAATTATTCATCGGAAACCCCCTCTCGCCGCGGCACAAACGTCGATTGATCCCGCTTGGATCCTCGAAGCTGACGGGTGTCGACCGATCTCGAAGCTCGCGGAGTGCCCGGATTCGCAGGCCGTTCAAGTGACGAAGGATGGATATGGTGAACGACGGTGACGGACGGAAGTGGCGGGACGATGATTTCGCGCGCCCGGCATTCGCGCGCCGTTCGGCGCATAGAAAATTCAAGGGGCATCATTCAATTTGACTGATATGTCGGCCTACGGTTAGGTGTCGCCTCGGCTCGCTCGAACTCCTCGCCGATAAATCCAGTGCGAATCCGAGGAAAAGCATCTGGTAAAACACTTGCTCGGCTCTCTCTCTCTCTCTCTCTCTCTCTCTCTCTCTATCTCTCTCTCTCTTTCTCTCTCTTCGATTTGTCAGGGTTTTCCATTAAGAAGTTTCACCTTAAATTTCGCGCCACTTTTAACATATTAAAAATAGAATTATAAAAAAATAGAATAGAAAAATAGTGATGTGAGATTTCTTCGAAAAAGTGACCGTTTGTAAATAAAAGTCGAGGCGGCCAGATTAATCAGATATCGTGTTCAACGTTTGATCGCACAGTCGGTGCTTTGCATTGGGATAAAAATATCACAATTTTTTCAAAAAAAGAAACTTTATTCCTCTAATAATTTAAAATGAAAAACCTCTTAATGGGAAACCCTATATTCCCGGCACTCGCGTTACGCGTGTGCGTTCGAACGATAATTCTCCTTCTCCTCCTCCACCTCTTCCCCCTTTTCGCCCGCTCTCCCCTTGCTCTCGCTTATACGTTTAATCAACTCTCAGCGCTCGGAGCGCGCCGAATTTATACACCGGCCGCTCTTGATTAGACACCATTCAAGGTCGGCCGAAATGATTCTGCGCTTCTCTTGCGAGAGACAGCAAAAGGTATCGATGCTCTCGCGTCGCATTCGTTACAGCGCCAGACAACATTGGGGAACGAGAGGGCGAGCGGGTCGCCCTTTGATCGATCGATCACCGCTGCAAAGACGCTCCCAGAGAGACGCGAAGCGAAGGAGGACGAATCCGAGGTGGAGATCGCGACCGGTGCCTTCTATTAGGATTCTCTCTATTCGCTTCACCCCCCTCCCCCTCCCCCCGGTACTTCATCCCTTAAGTGACCTTTACAAATTGAATTACGGTGTACGACGTCGCTTTAACCTATGTAACTATCCGTCACCTCGAGGAAACCGACGGCCAAGGTCGCAATAGCGGACTACCATTGGACGCACACACACACGCACACACGCACGCACGAGGACACATACACGCGTCGCTTCAGCTTCGAAAATACGAAAACAATTTCAATTTCGAGACTGAACCTCCGTCGGAGCAAACGGCTAGGCTTTCAATCTACGACCCGAAGTCGGTCCGGAAAAAAATTAAAACCTTCGCGCGGAAACTTCGAAATTGATTCAGAAGCTGGATTCAGGCTGAAAAGAGCAGCTCGGAGAACGCTCAGTTTCGTTATCGCTTCTGATCGGTAGGTATTTCTGGATCTGTGAGGAAAAATCGGATCTCCGAAAAAGTATGCTCCGTTCGCGGGCAATAATCGCCGAGCGTTCGCCGAGCGAGCTGGTTTTTCCGCCGAACACAACCAAGGTTACATCCGCCTTCGACCAATTAATTAAACGAATAAATTGAGCAGTGGGATATATATATATATATATATATACGCGCTCGCTAAAACGGATCTGATGAAATGGATTGCCCATTTCATGAATTTGTATCAATTACGTGATTACATTTCGCGCGCGGCGCGCGAGCTTTTTGAGCGACGGTGTACGCGCGCGGGGGAAATAATTACGCGGCGATTGTTATTGAGACGCATCATCGTCACGGGCGCGTGTGCGAGATTACGCAACGTATACGCGCGGTTAATTCATATTTAATGCGATATGCCTATCATATGAGACGGTGCGGATTAGTATTACTGCGTGTGCCGCGTGTGTGCATCGGCCGCTGGTCGAGCACGAAATTCACCGGCCGGTGCATGTGTATGTACACACAGGGACCGTGTCGAATTGTTTCCCGTTCGTTGCATTATGCCGTCGGAACGTTTGCGCGGCGACGTCATACGTCGTAATCGAGTCGCACAACTGCGGGATTTTGGGATTCTCGCCCGAGCGTGCGTGACATGTGATCGGACTTTCGACAATCGACCGCTGCCAAGTTTGCTAAATACAAAGAGAAGGAAGGAGGGCTGAGAAGCAAGACGTTGATTATAATTGATTTTCTTTAACTCGGGAACAGTTTTTTTTTTTTTTACGTAAACGATCACCCAGGGTCATTCAGACCTCAATTAAAAATCGCTATTATTAACGAAATATAGCATATTATCGATTGCTCTGTGATTTATTATATATATATACTATGAAATATACTAGAATAAGACGGGTCACAGCATATTCTTGTTGTCACAGGTTAGGTTTCTAAATGTCCAAATGAAAGGTACATATCGGTTCCCGATCAATAAAAAAAATCCACTGCGACGTGAGCTTCATTTTCCGATCGCTGAGGTACGAAATGACCCCAGGTGATTATTCCCGGGTTAATTAGACCGGGCTCGACGTGTTAGCGCCCGGCAAATCCGCCGCTGCGGAAACGTCCCCGTGACGTCACGGGGTTCATTAATAATCGCAAGCGCGATCGGAAATAATTAACAACTTAATCCTTCGCGCCCAGCGCTTCGCGAGCCCTTCGATAAACCGCAGTTAATCTCGTCTCAAGCTCTTTTAACGTTACTTCGAAAAGTGCCGTGAAGTTCATAATATTCTTTCCCTTCGCTCGAAAACTTTCAGACCCTTTTAGACCCCTCTCAGAACTGACTCTGTGCTCTTCTTTTTGGCATACCTTCGGTTCGGTGTGTCTCCGGTAACCTCCGTGTTTCGTCATGCTTCACGATTAAGTGCGCGAAAGCGCATCGTTGAAACGCGATGCATCGCCGGGGGAAATTCGATGGAAGTTTACGTCCGACGTACGGAGAATCGTCGACATTAGGATTCATACGGAACGCAAAGGTTTACGTTGGACATGATTGATAATGATTACGGTTTCCGCCGAAGCGAGCCGGATTAGCGCGGCTTACGCGTGCGGAAGGGATCGAATTCCCGGCTCTTTCGAGGCTCCGAGAACGTTAGTGTGGTCTGAATGACGTTTAACGTTCTCATACCGAATCGCGCGTGCGATTCTCCCCCTCACGCTCCTCTGTTGCCTCGTCAACCCTTGAAATTTCACATTCAAGATTCATCACTGACCAAGGGTTTATTCTCGTCCGAAACGTTTGCGAGTCCTTAAAAAGTTTAAGTATTAAAGATACCGGTCCATATTCTCGACTCACTTTTACTGATAAAAGTGCCTCTAAAAGTGGTTCAGAAACTACCTGATTGGCTGAGAAATCACATTTAAGGCACTTTAGCCGATAAAAGTGAGTTAAGAATATGGGCCACTGAATTTCTCACGGTAAAGACGACAGCCGGAAGTCTATAGTTTAATCATTTTTTCGCCGTTTCGGTATCAGAAATTTACGACGTTCGGAATTGTGGCGACCAACCTTTCGCAATCCGGCGCTAACGAAATTATTTATAACTTCGTTAATACCGAAAATAATAATGCGTAGAAATTATCGCACGTAATTAGAGCACAAATAAATATTTGCGCGAAACTTCAGAATTGTATGCCTTGACGGTTTTTATTTTAAAAATTCTTAAAAATCACCTGCCAAACGTTGCAAATGAGAATACCCGTTTAAATCGCCACGCGCCGTTTCACTGAAAACTTTTTACATTAGAAATAACCCACTTGTGTCTCCCTTCATAGCGAGCTCCTGAAGTTTTATCGTAGATTACGGATTTGCCGCGAACCTTCCTGACTACTTTAAACAGCAGTAAGGTATCGCACCGAATGAATGGGACAAGCCCTCGAGGCTGAAGCGGTCGATAGTGAAACTGGAATCGCATGTCGTGCACAAAAGGACGTCATCACGGTCACGCGGAAACGGCGAAGTTATGAGGGAAACGCCGCAGCACGTCTCGATGTAAAAATAGTTACAGCTCGCAGAGACAAAGAGAGAGAGAGAGAGAGAGAGACCAGCCTGGTCGCTACAGTCGGTCCTCCTCTTCCATTCATGTCCGTTCCGTCTGCAAGGATCGCCAGGACCGTCTAAACTGGATCCGGCGCGGGCGCGAGCAGCTGCATACTGCTGCTCGATTTCGCAATCTGCAATGTCAACGACAAATCGCAACGCTGTGCGGACGATCCAACTTGCGTCTGTTAGACGAACTAACAGTGTTTGAGTAGATGATTTCAGATTCATTCAGATGAAGATGATTTTGCTTTTAATGAGTCTACAGGAACACGAAGGACAGCAGGCGAGCGATGATAGCAGGAAAAGGAGCTTAATGGAAAAGCTAATTGAGACATGCTTCTTTCTCGGCGAAACATCGTACCTGGTGTTCCGGTTGTTTGTGCGATTTCCTGGCGTAAACTTTCAGGACCCTGCAGTTACACGCGACGGAGAGCGCCACCGCCGATCCCTGTGCAATAGAATCGTCGTGCGCGATGAGACAATGATCCAAGGGACAAAACTTATCGTTAAATTATACAGTCACCGTTGAAAAATAAAATTGATTTTCTCCAAAAAAATGTCCAAAATGTTCAGTCGCCATTGCACAGATAAGAAGGGCAGAAAGACGAGAGACGAAGGGAAAAAAGGAAGAGAGAAGGTCCCTGGAAGGAGAAGCGAGCAGGAGACGACGGGACGAGGATGTACGATTGAGCACAGCAGGTAAAGTGAGACGAGGTCGACACATCTTCCGCCACTTCGAGATTCGTCGATCGCGAAAAGCTTTCGCTGCTGAAGAACACTCGACTCGACAAACTCACGCATCCGCGGAAAGATATATATATATATATGTATATATATATATATACTATATACGCGAATGTGCACAGAAGAGTACCCTGAAAAGCCGTTCACGCTTGACGATCGAACGCCAGGAACGGAAGTTCCCGAGAAACTTCCCAGAGGAGGGCATTAATAGATAAGAGATTCCGCAAATTCCTGCGTTCGCCTTTTCTCTCTCTCTCTCTCTCTCTCCGCTTCTTTATACGCGACGCGCCGCGTCGAGCGTCACCAAGAATTTGAGCTGGATCTTTCCGTGTTGAAAGTGAAGTTGGGACAAGAAACGAGATTACCGAACGCGTGACAATTAAAATGTTGGGATTTACGGCACACGAAGTTCCCAATTCAACTGCATATGAAATACGTGGATGCACGTCAGGATCAGAATAGTCTCAATAATGATGGAAATAATGGCTCGAGTAATAGTCCCAGTAATGATTCCAATAATGGCTCGAGTAATATTCCGAATAATAGCTCAGATGCGTGTTACATGAATGTGATGAATTGTAAATAATTAAGACGCGTCTAATAATGCGTTTGAGGAAACTGTACATGCAGCAGTTCAACCCCAGTAACGATACGAAAAATACGCAACAATCGGCAAAGCGATTTGTCCGTGTGACGTCGTGCGGCAAACCAAGTAATGCGACGTCGGACTCGAGCGACTAACGGACAATGTGTTCCTCATCCTCATCCTTCAACGTCCGCTTCTAACGCTCGCTCCATACATATTCGCGCCATAATCCAGCGGAATTGCGATGAAGATATGAGATATATAACGCCGAGACACGTCGTTAAGGAGGAAAGTGGACGAAGAGGGGGAAGGGGGAAAGAAATGGCGTCTCGGACGCGGGTCTTCCGTCTTCGCAGGACTCCGCTAGAGCATTTTTTGCACCACCTTCCTTTCTCCTACCCGAAGCTCTACCTACCTGAAGCGAATGGCCGGTACAGAATACCGCCCAGAGGAAGGGAATTTTCAGGACTCTGGACGCGACCCCGCAGCCAGCGACCACCGCGACGATCAGACTGATTTTCAGGAAGAGCATCAGTTGCAGCGCCCGCCTCCTCTTCATCTTCTCCCGCTGCTTTATCTCCAGCTGCATGCTGCACGTGTACCTGCGTGCATGTGCGCGCGACGTAGTCGTGTGACGTATAATTCGTGAGCGAGAAANGGGGGGGGGGGGGGATCGCGAAACTTTCGGTACGGCAGAGAACACGGAAGAGCAAAGTTTGGAATTACGGAGGATGAAAACGTACGGGCGACACATCTTCTGGAAGATCTAAGGTAACAAACTGCCTGTGATCCGCAAAATTCGGAGGGCGCGTAAAATCGGAAGCGCGCGCTATTTCATATCGAGTATTGTTATTCGGACACTGTCGCCAAGTTTCGCGCGGGATGGCGATGTATCCGGCATTGAATCCTGATACATCGTCATTCCCGTCTCCTCCCTGAGATCTCCTTTTATATATCCGTTTAACGTGCTCGACCTTTTGAATCAACGACGGACGATGTAATCGAAGAAAGGTGACTATACCTCGACACGATCGCGGCCTTGACGAGGTAGTAAGCGGAAGTCAGTAGCAGCAGGATGACCGGCAAGCCGTACGCGTAAACCGTCGCCCTGACGCCCAGAAACCTGAAAATAATCCGGCGCATTTCTACTGATCTTATCTGCCGTGATAAATTTTACATCGTCGCACATCAATTTTTATAAAGGTCGTACCGAAGGGATATCAAACGAGAATACTGGAGAATGTCACGCGACTGGAATTCGTATATACAAATTTTTCCAGATCTCTCTCTCTCTCTCTCTCTCCTTAACACGCGCATTCCGTCCCGCTCCGTCGCGACCCACTTTGTTCTCTCTCTAAGCTTCCCCGGGATGCGTAAGATCGAAAGACCACGGTGGCGCGACGATAGGGCGACGCTTGGTTTTCCCGTCAGCCGCAAAGGATCCACTGGAAGCCCGGGTCCTTTTTCCACGCTCGAACTCGCCGGGATATTGGACGTCGAGGCGGAAGCTCGAAGCGCGCGCGCGAACGCTCGGAAACGTCCGTTTGAGGAATGTGTCGCGTACGTGTACACACCGGCAGATCATTTATTTATCTCGAAATTCCGCTCCTCTTCTTCTTTTTCGTTTCCGCCGCCACCCACGACGAAATCCCGGCCGAACGACCAATTTTCGTTAAATCTGATTCGCCCGAAACGCTCGCGAAACCGGAACACAGGGGGTACGAACGACCGACATTTTTCAAGGTGGAGTATCCGATAAGGAGATGTATGTCGAGTATTACCGTGTATCCTATATCGATATCTCACGTTATTCTTCTTTATAAGAATGCTCCAGGATATGATGGACCCCGAACTGTTTCCCTTTTTCTTACGTTAACTTAACGCGAGGAGCGTTCCGGCAATTCTCTCCGTGCGGATGAATTTCACCCGACCGGCGACGGAGATAAACGTTCTCCCCGGTGTCTCGCGAATAAATTCGATGGAAAGGCGCACCGATACGCACCCGCACGTAAGTCGAATATGTGTTATCTGTATTCTCAATATTTCTCCGTTGCGCTCCGATACGCTCGATCAGAGACAATGAATTAAAATCTCACCAACAATTGAAGGGCGTGAGCTCGACGACGTCCCAGAAATCGTGGCCCTCGCGGCTCTGCAAGAAAGTCGCCAGACCGAGGGTGATGAGCGGCGCACCCCAGGCAAACAGGCTGTACTTCAGGTACGTCGGCGGGTCGTCGCGACGCGGTATCGATGCCACGGTGGCGTACAGGTGGTGGCACATCGCCGCCAGCCAGCACAGCACCGACACCCGCAGATACTGCAGGCTCAGGCCGAGCGAGATGCACAGTTCTGAGTCCTGCAAGTCGAATGACAAATATAGCGCGTTTGATATCCGCGAAGAGAAGGAACATGTCTGTCATTCGGATCAAAATCGAATTTCGGCGCGATGTAAACGAAGTTTTCCACGAAAAAGTGACCATATGTAGAAAAAAAAAAGAAGTTTAGGCGCTTAATCATACTTAGTCTGTACTTCGCATTAAAATAAAAGTATCACCACTTTTTCCAAAAAAAAAAAAAACTTGTTTTTCTAATAATTTAAAATAAAATATCCTCTTAATGGAAAACACTGCACATAGTTTACATCGCCTACGCATAGAAGTGGACTGTTATATTCGCAATATTTTGCGCGCGAATGCCTAAATTTACGCCCGGTATTAAATTGCGGCATTAAATTGCGCGTACAAGATGTTTCTCCGGTCTTTCTCGTTCGATTTACGGTTTACGGTATGACTGAATTGTTCGGCCGGGCGAGCCTCGTCAAGCGATATTTTCCGCGGGACGGATGAACGTCACCGTCAATTTGCGCCCGTGATAAAGGACGAGTAATTCGCGATGATGGTCTAAACGCACACACACACACATCGCTGATACTACGTGTGTATGGTGGCCGGCATATTATTCACGCCGCAAATTCCACAATACCGGCCGATATTCCCGTGNATATATATATATATATATACATATATATATTTTGCGATGCAACATCATCGCGATCGATCATGCGGATATCAACCGACCGTAGCCGAGCGGCGTCGTTGTTGATTCGCTAATTCACGAAATAGCGCTATTGGGCGCGCGCACAAATAGCGCGGCGCATTAATATTGCGGACGGTTGCCGACGAAAGCCCTTAAATCGAAAGACCTCCAGCCGGGCTAATCAGCAAAACAATTTGCCGCCACTCACTTGTACACACCGCGGGAATAGAGTATAATAGCCCCCTTCTTAGTTAAGTATATGCTGATTCTGTCTGAAACTTCGTCATTTACGCGATTTAATGCTATATCCTATTTGATATCATAACTCTTTTTCTCTCTCTCTCTCTCTCTCTGCTGCAGGCGCACAATCGCAACAATCGCCAGGCGTGCTCTCGCGCATCGAGACGGAAGCGGAAATAAATTGGAGGATGCACGCGAGTGCCTTTCTGGAATCCGCGGCGGGCCGGAACAAAGGGCCGGTCTCTGCGAGAGAGCGAAAGAGAGAGAGAGGGGCGAAATTGCGAACGAGCGAACGATTCACGTCAGAGGACAAATTTTACCATGGACGTCTTCAAACGATACCCCCTTTGCGTGCAATTCTTGCGCACCATTAACTCCTCTATGGCGAAGGGGGGAAGGGGGGATCTGCCGTTTTCACCTTATGCAGGAGTGCCGAGTCGAAATGTTCGATTGTGTTACTTTGACGCTCTTAAAGATAACTGTGCGCCTATTTAGGATGGACTCGTGAATTATTTATAAATAAATGAAAACCTACTTTGCACTGTCATCGTCGCGATCATCATTTAATTTAATCCGAGCCGCGATATGTATCAGCAACGGGCGTGTCGCCGCGACGAGCCCGTCATAATTGTTTTCGCAACAATGCGACCGCGCGCGTTCGAAACGACAATTCTCGCGTAATGAAACAGCAGTTTTGCAGCAGTCGGCGGATTGCATTACTGTTGTACGAAAGGTGAAAGGCGCCGAGGGGTAGCGCCCCGTCATCGGGGATTTCGCCGCTGCGAAATTGTCATCGAGAGCCAGGAAATCATTTTCGAAACGATGTCGACGCGCGACTCGCTCGCATCGCCGGCGAAGCGAAGTGAAGAAATCTATTCTCGGCCGGACGATATAATAAACCCGGCGTTAAATCGAGCCCGTAACGCGGCGAAAAATAACGATGTTTCCTCGCGAATCCGTCGCGCGACGCGACGCGGCATTTAAACTGTGCTATACAATGAGGTTAAAGGGGACAAATTTCAAAGCCGGCGGCGACACCACCGTCGAATTAAATCGGAAGCAGCCGCGTCGGCACAGTGTGTAATTCGAACGTGCACTCCGCCCGTGTACAACATGAGATATCGTCTTTCTCAAAAAGCTTTTTATCAACTGTATATATCGGTGGTATCGTTTTCCTGATAAAATCCCCCCCGCCCCCTCCTCCCGGTAAAGGGTTTCTAACGGCTTCATTGGAAAACATCGAGCGTTTTGGATTTTTTTTTTTTTAGTTAATTAATTATCTCTTTCAGGTATCTCCGTTTACGTCGCACACGGCGCAGCCAAAGCGGGAAAATGTGATTTTATAATATTATTTGGAGAAAAATAATATGTGTGTACATTTGAGGGAGAATATTTGTATGTGTGTGTGCGTTTTTACGGTTGTTTAGTGTGATAAATCGGCATGTGTAGTCCTTTCAGGAGATTGAAAAATGTGTCGTACAAGCAATGTTCAATATTTAATTACTCTTCAATCGTTCTGACAAATCACCAATGTTTCCAAGGCGTTTCGCGTTTTATCCGTTGAAATAGGCTCTCGGCCAATCCCGCGGAAACCGTCAATCGGTCGAAGTATATTTCAGACGCGGCTAGAAGAACATTAGGCCGATAGATCCTTTAGAGGGGGTTTTCTGACTTGCACGAAACCACCGGACACGGCGCTGAAGCAGAAATGGAAGCACGATGGAAGAGAAAGCTCGGCCTGATCGCTTTCAGTACGTGAAGCAGCGGCTAAGTCCCGGATTAGCCCCGTGTCTAACAGTCACGTAGGATATCGACCGACGAGATTTGATACCGTTGCCAGAAATCGATGCTCCCTCGAAGTTCTCGGCCTTCTCTCTCCGCGAAAAGCCGGCCCGTCGCGCGTCAAATGCGCTGCGCTCGCGTTGCGAATTTCACTTCGCCAGCGCAATACGCTGAAAAAAAGAATTTGGTAATAAGCACTTAAATTTGGCGAATATTCGCCGACCCAAACCTTCGATTATCGCAACCAAATATGGTTTCACGCACACCGTATATAGAGTACTGTAATTCCGTATATTGCATATTTAAGTATACTAAATTATTATTACTAAATAATTATCATAATTCAATAATTCATAAATCAATATTCAAATCAGATATTTGGTCGGCAAACATTCACCAAATTTGTGTGCTTATTGCCAAATCCTTTTTTCAAAGCGTAGCTCGCCCTTTCGTTACTTTTACAACGAACATACTCTCTTATATTATAATTATCCTTATTCTGTTCGTTATCGCATTATCACGGTAATCATGGTTCAAAAGTATATGATTTTACTCCGGGATGAAACAAAGTGGACAAACGAGACTCGTCCGTATCTCCGAGAGACACGTGAAAACAATTTCGGAGCGCGTTTCGCCTAATGCGCAGAATTACCGTGAGATTTTCCGACGAACGTTTCCGCGTGTATCGCCCCCACACCGCGGTTCCATCGCGGCCATAATTGGCAAAGTTTTTGCCGTTGCGCGCGCGAGTCAGCCATTTGTTAAAAGTGGCAAGCGATATTATCCGTCCGTTTTTAAACCTCCAATTCCGCCGTTTAAAACGTAACGGAAACGCTCGACGCCGGCGCTTCTCACCGGCGAATGCCGAAATATTGCGGATTTTGCGCGACTTTGGCGCGACAAATAATTTGGATTTGGTTGAAATACGAAAACACGTTTAAAAGACAAACGAGTTCATCACAAGTACATTTATGAAACACGCCTCGTTTCTGTAACATTCGATTTCTTATGGGGGATTATAAAAATATAAGGAGAAAAAAACCAGAGGACTAGGAATCCGTGAAAAATGAAGAACTGACGATGACCGGGAGAAGAGAGCTCGAAAATGGAATATGAAAAATGCGAGTAGCGAGCAGGGATTTCATTTTTTTCCCCCTCTCTCAATCGCGCCGACGAAAAGAGAAATAAAAGACGGAAGGATTTTTTTCTCGAGACCGCGCCCGAATCCAGTTCAGGGATAGCGCGTAAGAAGAAATAAATTACTATCCGTTCTGGATCTCCAATTTCGCGTGTTCGCAGATGAAATACGCGGATAAGAGGGCGACTAAAGGGCTAACTGAGGAGGACTTTTCACCGGGTGACGATCTCTCAATACTCCCGATACTCGGCTCTCGATATGCGTTCGATCGATTTAAGCCATCCGTCTCTTCCGCCCGAAGATTACGAAGCGAAGTTAATATCGGAGATATGTATATACACGTGTGTGTGTGTAAGTCACCCACACACACGGATAGAGGAACACCCTGTGTCAGAATTGGACACGCTACGGGAGAAGATTTATTCTATGTTCCCGAGTTATTTTCTTTTCCTTTTTTTTTTTTGATACGGAATCATCCGAGCGGCTGCTGCTGCTGCTGCACAGCAGCTGATATCGTTGATACGGATCGTTCCGGGAGGAACGCGAGGTCTCTAGTTGCAACGACTCGAATCGAGCTATCGAAGTAAGCGTCCCTCGTCCACTGTACACGTGTACGCTTCCCCGTCCGGGAGGCATTAGGGGGATAGGCGGCTTGTGTTCTCCGAGGGAGAGGATCCTTCCCTTTGCTTCTCGTAGCAAAAACCGCGCAACAAAATGTCGTTTCGCCCTCCTTCCTTTTTCCTTCACTTGCCTCTGCGTCTTCCTTCTCCTCCGCCATCGCAACCGAGTCGCCTCGATACACGCGAGTTTCGAGCGTACGAAAGAAGGTCGGCGAAATGTTTTCTTTCGACCGTTCTCGTTACCCTTAATCCGGGAATAGTCACCTTAGTTGTATTACATAAATATATAACATAAGAAATATTTTTAAGCAAAATAATTATAAATTTTGAAGAACATTGACCGCTGGGGTATGAAATGACCCCAGGTGATTATTCCCGGGACGATTTCCCGCGTTGAACGAGTCGCGCTTTTTCGTGATACACCGAACGGAGCCAAAGTGTAACAAAAGCAGCGCACAATTACGCCACTTCTGTATCGGCTAACAAACAAGGCTCGTAATGGAAGTAATTAAAACGGAAAGCGCACGCGCACGCGCGCGG